TAGTTCACCACTCTGCTTCGCCACACTTAACAGCCAGGCCGCTCTCCCTTTACTTGGTAAGTATCGTGGCCTACCTCCCTACCTTTAATACCTGTCTACCAGCTCCATTGTAATATAATGATTTGTCCTGCATCACTTCCTTACTTCGTAACAAATTTGCTCTCTCTCTCTTATCTATGGTTCTGTATTACAGCTCTACCTTGTAAAATCAAGATAATATAATTAATAATAATATACATGTAAATAATAATAATTAAAGTATAATGATATGACTCTCTTGAGAGGGTCAAACAACCCAGCTCTCCCCAAAATATAGTGTCCTGCACTGTCCTTCTCATGTGTTACAACCATACTATTGTAGTGTTGTCCCTCCCTTATAACAATTAGGCTCAGTATATAAATCTCCCTAATCCATTTGAGAGGAGTATACCGCCAGTGTGTTGTGTTTTTAAAGAGTTATATAACAATGTTATGCATATCATTTCACCCTCAGAAAAGTCTAGAAGTCTGTGTTAATTTACAATGAGGACAACCAAGCTGAGCAGAGGTCTATTTAACTTGTTAAGTCCTGCACCATCTTTAATCTTTTACAACCTGTCACCCTCCTCCCCCTCCTCCTCCTCCCCCTCCTCCTCCTATAGATCATGTGTGATATTGTGAGGAGGATTGTACCGGGGTTTGTGTCTATTAATCTATGAAACTCATTAAAGTTGTTTATAGTTTGGGCACGAACTAGATGATTTATTTAATATGTTCTGTTGATCCGACAAGTACAACTAAGACCCGCCGGGAATTACCCCCTTTGTCAGTCCTTAAACCACCACCATTCATCACCAGACGTCACATTTAGTACCTTACAATGGCCCTTTTGTCGGGAGTTGAACATCAGCCTTAATACCTTAACGCTGAACAAGAGATCTGCGGTGCTGCGCATGTATTTGCACAACAACAGAGTTGGCCCTGCATACATCCATATCCTCCCCCTCCTTATTGTCCTTTAAGCGAGGTGATTTGGGTATACGTTATTTGAAGTTGGAAGTTGGCGATAAGTTCAATTTAGCATTGATCATTGTCATACTTATCTTATAGCTGTTAATATTAATATTGCTTAATATCCGCCGTATTAAATCTCGTGATACTATCACATCCTTACAAATATCATTACCATGCCATTATGTGGTCGTAATTGTACGATCTCTCTCTCTGCAATGGTACGGTAATGAACATACCGTGACTTGCAGTGCACATTGATTTTTGTTCAATAAATTTCCTGTCTACTATCTCATTAATTACTGGTACAATTACCTCGCGGTGCCCTTTACCATTTACTTTTGTCATTATTTTATGCGATCTGAGCACGTTTGTTTTACCGTATAATAGCTGGGTCATTCCTTAAAGTACGATCTAAGTTTTACGGAAAGAATTAAAATCATGCCCGAGAGTCTGGGCACTTAGTTTGCCTAACAGCGATGCGTTTATTTTATTTTCACTAATTGGTGTTATAATTGTACATGATTTATAGAACCGTGATATTTCCTTTAATAATTTAAGTTATTTAAGGAATTTAAAACAAGCTGCTGAGGACATGATTTCAGCGCACATGATTTCTTTTCGTTTTAGAGAAAGCTTTATAGGCGGACGTTGAAGCCGCCCTAAGTCGAATTTATAGGCGACAGCCTTGTTTATTTTATCAATATCAGTAACTTAGAGCTTTGGTATATGATATAGTTCCTAGTCCTTGATGATTTAGTGCAATCCAGTGGATCGCACTCATGGAACTCAAAGCCGGGAAACTACCGAGGGCACTTACATAATCATTCTAAATGTTCGCTTATCTTCTAAACCTCTACCAGTACCACTACCACGTGGCACGTACAGTTTAGTGATAGTATCTTGAATAAATGATATGCCACGCCCGTTTATCTTATCAAAGATCAGGAATATGTCGCCGGGATTTGCGGCCTTGGTCCACAGTAACCGAGTTTTAAAATTAGATTGCCTAGTGCCTTCGCACTTTTTAGCACATATTAATCTAAGTATAATCAATGTGGTAATTGGTGACATATTGTCATTAAACATCTATTCCGTCTATATTCGTCTTTAATATATTATAGTTTAACGGCATCAAACAATTATGAATGGCGCCTATGCAAACCCGAATTTTTAAAAAATTCGCGTTTTTTAACGCTAATGGTGGTTTTAATGTCTTTTCACCGCGTCTTTTAGAATTTATATATAAAAACACGTCATTTTATTTGTATTCAGTTTTGTTCAGCTTTCTTGTGAGCACGCTTCCTTACATTATATCTAAGAATTCTTCTAACAGCTTAGAATTGAACGAAAATCATTATTTAATATTAATCATAATAATATCATTGTGTTATTTGCTGCTTACATTTTATTACACCTCTAATTCTAATTCTAACCCGGTTACACTAAATTACCAGGAAGAACGCTAGGAAGAACCCTAATCAGCCAAGATGCGGGGCTGTTGGACAGATCTCTCAAAAGACCCCAACTCTTCCTCCTCCCCCTCCATAGCGTGCCGCAGTGCCGCCGCGCAGGGCAGTCAGAACAACAACCGTCCCTCCTCCAGGTCTTCTCCTTCTTATTCTCCTCGGTTTAGAAAATCTAACAGCAGTCCGAAGAAGGATGAGTACGAGGAGGGGGTTGTGGAGAAGCAGGTGTTTGGGAATCCGGGCAAGTATAAACTCGTTGTTAACAAAAGCAATAGGCTAGGTGATATTTTGAAGAACAATAGTGGGAATAACTCCGGGTATGAGACGCCGGACTCTATGAGCAGTGCTTGCTCACTTATATCTCTGAACGATGAATTAGACGATGGCTTGGGAACCTTCCAAGCAGCACGAGCTAGAGACTCGATTCAGCTCTCATTTAACAACGTGCAGAAATTCAGACCTAGGATCCTACCGCCGAGAATTTCAATAACCGTTGAAAATGTCGTAGAAGAAACGCCCGACTCGCCAACTCCGGTCAACAAATTTAAGGACAGTTTGGAAGGACTGAATCTAATCGACGGTAGAAGGGAAAGTTGGAGTTCCGGACATCTCGAAGTACCAATACCAGAACCCAAACCAGTCAGAATGCCACTAATAACAGACGAGATGCTTGAAAAACACTCGCTCCACTATCTCCTAATGCACAACTTCTTCATGTCTGACTCCTCACTCGACTCCTCTCCCTGCAACACCCCAACACCCCCTGTTGGACCCAAGAAAGTGCGGTTCAACCTGGAGCCCATTGAAATACAAGACAACACCCCAGTCTCAGAGTACGCGTTTATAGAGGCAGGAGCTCTGTTCCAGACCCGCTGGGAGACAATCGAGAGACACGACCACACTCTGCTGGGCAGTCAGGAGAAGTGGCAGTACTTTGACAGTGAGAAGCAGAGGTTTATATTCGAGATTATCAAGTGGAACCCGTATGATCAGGAGGAGTATCCAGGGGTCCCTGATGAGCCGGTTTACATTAAAGCAGAGTGTTTTGAGAGTGTACTGTTCTACTATCAAGATATTCAGAATACACTGAGGTGCCCTATTGGGATTAAACATGAAACTTTTTTAGATACTCTGAGATTCTTTAAGATTAATCCGAAGGAAATAACAGTAGGACCGTATGAGCAGGAAATCAAGGATAATTTTGAGGGACTGGTACCTGAAGATCCAAAAAGTTTTCAATCTACAATCTTCTTATGTTTATACCACAAAACTTCTGCGGTAACGAAGATTTACACAGTTTTTGATGTTATATTCATTCTTGTCTCAGTTGTGAGCTGCATTTCAGCAACCCTCCCTGATAACAGACCCCCTAATTTGGATCCACTAGAAATGGCGTTCTTCGCCCGGTACGGAGCCATTCGAATCTTTGTTTGGATGGATGCTGCCTGTATGATCTGGTTTTCTATCCTTTTCCTGCTACATTTTTTCGCCGCCCCTCAGAAAATAAAATTCCTCACATCTTTTCAGACTGGTATAGACCTTATGTTAATCGCTACATTCTGCATGCTGCTGGCCGTAGCAAACTCAGACGCCTCGGACAGCAAGTTCCTCAAAAACATCATCAGACTATCGTTCAGTTTCAGAATCTTGAGACTATCCAGACACTCGCTCCTCTTGAACTCCTTAGGAACCGCCTTGAAGGACGCATCACGTGAACTACTCTCAGTATGTCTGTTTTTATTCGTCATTGTCTTTCTCTTTGCTTGTTTAGAGTACCTAGCAGAAGTAAAAGAGCCGGAACCGCCAACGATCTCAAACGGAACAGACTGTGTAACCGAACCGTGTCCTGAAGACGAGGAATTCCACTCAGAGGAATACCATCACGAGGACGATGTTCATTACAGTATCCTGGAGTATGTGTGGTGGAGTCTCATCACTATCACTACTATTGGGTACGGGTCTCCAGCGATATTGACCACTGCTGGCAAGATCATCGGTGGGTTTTGTGCTATTGCGGGAGTGCCTCTTTTTGCTATTCCGATACCCATCCTGAGTAAACATCTGGACAGGAGTATACAGAGGGAGCAGCGGAAGAATGAGTACATGAGGGAGAGAATGAGCAGTTTATCTAGAGGGGATAAGAAGGAGGAGAAGAGTGGAGAGGAAAACAGTAGTGATGAGGGTGAGGATATGAGCTGGAAGAAGATAGTCGGAGAGAGAAGGAAGAGTATGGGACCTCAGTTTGCTATGACTCACTTTAGACCATGAAGTGAGGACAAGAGTATGTGAAGTTTTAGGTGGTTTATTTGTTTAAACTGATGTATTAAGGGATAATGAAGATTATCTTTTGTAATTATGAAAATGCAAGTTGAATTTTCTCAACTTTCATTTGCTGCTGCTCCCTACAGATAATCAAGATCTGAAAGTTTTAACTTTACTCTGATTTTAGTCCGATAATTTTACACCGATTTTACCTTAACAGATGTTTTCATTTCAATATCCAAGAAAACTAAAACTGAAATTTCCAGCTGAACAACGTACCTGTGAGCCTGAAGCTTTTTACAGGAGGATCCCACGGTAACATTGGAACCTGCTTCAAGTTGATATGTTCGTCGTACAGACCTTCGTTAAAGTAGTTACCAACAAACCTGATGATATAATGTCAGTTACTTATGACTGAATGATAACATACATCATATAATACATAATATAATCGTATTATATAATCAAACATCCATTCTGATTTCTGTGACTGCTCATCAATAAATGGCCCTAGTTCCTCACCTGGCAGTTACTAATGTCATCATGATAGGAAGACCAAACGTTATGTTCCTAGTAGCCTCCATTATAATTACAGTCAGACTTATAGTCATACGAGTTACACCACCTGAAACATCAAGTCGTAAACTTGGAAGCGGAAAATTCAGACTCCTGTCTGAAAGCAGAAAATTCAGATTCCTGACTTTTTTGAAAATTCAGACTCCTGTTTGAATTAAAGTTTTGAAATAATTTATCACAATAAAGAAGGTTACCCAAGAAAGAAGCAGCACCAATGAGAGCGTATATTCCAGGCTCCGATACGTTCATTGGTGTGACGTAGTGTAGTAATACCCCAACAAGTCTACCGTAAGCAGCACCTGGTAGGGGAGAAATAATTACTGCACTACCATCAACCATGTTATTAGAAATACGACAGAAAATATGTAGAAATGCGACCTTATCATTTATATCGGACCAAAATACATGGTTCATAATCTTCATAAACATGATAATAACATGTTAAAAAGAACGGGCCGAGCAGTTTGACACTAACCTGTGAGAAGACTGGGCATGAAGAGACCAGAAGCAACAGAGAGACCGTACGTCCAAACAGACATGAAGTAGTATATCACTGAGAAAGTCAGTAGTGACTTCCAAGAGAACTTATCTGAAATAAGATGATTGTTTTAAAAATTGCTTATTTATGGTTTGTCTGAGCAATTATTTATATCGGATATCATAACGGTTGTAGCCGCAGTTTCCCATAATATAAAACTCCCATAATTTCTCAAAAAGACAGACCTAGACCCACATTCCACACCCAGGAGGTTTATTTGTTACCTATAGGAGAGTGAAGAAGATCTTTAACAGTGCTCTCAGGGGATTGCAAGAACAGAGTAGCAAGTGAGTTGTACTGTCCACTGTCGCATTGCATCTGTAATAATATAGAAGTCACATTTTAGAAGGGACATACAAAATAGTTTCCAGAAAACATACTTATTTTGGATTTTCAACAACTTTTGTTTTGTTTGTCAGGGAAACACTACAAAATTTGGACAAAGCCACAAAAATCGTCGTATTTTTGATCAAGTCCATCATGATTTGACACACAACTTTTACTGGTCCAAACAGTAACCTGTAAATTATAAAGCTCTGTGCTGTTATCTTTAACTTGTGCGTAGGTGCAGTCCTCGACAAAGTACATGGCACAAAATCCTATAGCAGTAGTGGAAAACGCTACCAGAATTACTTCTATTACTTTCAGTACTCTGTACTTCATACGCCTGAAACAAACCGGTTGATAATAACATAGTTAATAATAACATAGTTGTGCAGCGTTTAAAAGCTAATCTACAGCTTCGTCCATTTCGACAGAGACAGTTTCCAAAATGTGGAAGGGATTTATTTTCGGTAAATTATAATTGATGTTTTGGGAAAAAGTGAGAGTCTCCACTCAGTTTTGCAAACAAATAGTTGTCGACGTTTCGGCCTACGCCTTTTTGAAAACGGTAAATTGTCAATTTGAGAAAATATTCGCCTAGGTCAGTAGAATGTCAAACCTGCCTTAATTTTTTAAATGGCTCGTGTCGACATACGCTCTTTCTATAATAGGGCGACAACGTGAATTGTGAAACTCCAATCAGCAAGTTGGAAGCAGTGACCTATTAAATACCAATGGTTCCTACGTGCGAAAACAATTAAAATATTCACATACTCAGCCGAAAACAAGCCTATCATCACGTTGTTAATAATAAATACACCTATTCTGAATAAAGAAAGTCTGATAAAGGTACCTTATTCTGAATAAAGAAAGTCTGATATTGATGTCGTTGAATAATGCTCCGAGGAGTCCACCAACCATTCCCATCATTATGAAAATAATTAACTCATACCACTCGTAGTTACTGATCTGAAATTAAATAATCTCTCAGGAGATTATAATGTACAGCTTTTATGAAAAGTTAGAGCACCTTTTATACATCGGCCTGAACAGATAAAAAAGTTAGAAAAATGGGACTCAAAGCATATTTCAATGTTATACATATGGCTGATCAGATAACTATAGTGCTTACCTCGAATAGACCAAAGTTAGCAAGACCAGGATTAGATAGGTCTCCAGGAGACCCTTTATACGTTGAGAGAATAGTGTTGAGGAAGAACGACGATACCAGCGAGGAGAAGAACTGAGGGCGGTAAAACAATTAATCATCTTTTGGGCAACTTATAATAGAAGAACTCTCAACTCACAAATTACTGATCAAACTACATTGATCAATATTCTAAAATGAAATAATCTTTACTATTCGCCAAGTAATGAAATAATATTTACTATTCGCCAAGTAATGAAATAATATTTACTAAATAATATTTACTATTCTCCAAGTAAGGGACTGGTTCCAGAAACTAGCACCCTCCTCCAGAGCGAACAGCACCCCTCCAATTGGTGCTCCAAACGCAGCAGAGACCCCTGCAGCAGCGCCACAGGCTATAAAGTCTCTCTTAACATGGTCACATCGGAAATCTTTGAAAACCTGATAAAGTAAATTAATCTATCAGTTTCATGATGATGTACAACTCTATATATTATCTATAACATTTTAGAACCTTATGTATTAATGTTATTCATATAGGTTGCAGGTAGCCCATGATCATGAGTGCGAATTTGCAATCTTTCAGAACCGTATTCGTATTATTCATATAGGTTCGATGTTGCCCATGGATAGTCAAATATACCAATATATACGTAATACATTCCAATCTGGGCATAATTACGATCACTAGAGTATACATTTACATAAGTATGTATAACTTATTTAACATAAAATTATCAGACAAATCTTACCTTGCAATCACACTGCAATGTAGTTGATCTACCCTGAGAAATTCCTGCAGCAACCACCGCGCCACTGTGTACCATGGGACCTTCCTGCGGGGTGAGTATCGTAAAATAATGGTTCAACAACACTGTGTACCATGGGACCTTCCTGCGGGGTCAGTATCGTAAAATAATGGTTCAACAACACTGTGTACCATGGGACCTTCCTGCGGGGTCAGTATCGTAAAATAATGGTTCAACACTGTGTACCATGGGACCTTCCTGCGGGGTGAGTATCGTAACATAATGGTTCAACACTGTGTACCATGGGACCTTCCTGCGGGGTCAGTATCGTAACATAATGGTTCAACACTGTGTACCATGGGACCTTCCTGCGGGGTCAGTATCGTAACATAATGGTTCAACACTGTGTACCATGGGACCTTCCTGCGGGGTCAGTATCGTAAAATAATGGTTCAACAATTTTTGGGTGTTCATTTCAAACTGTACATTTTCCACTGTACTTTTCACATTAATTAATTTATTCTGTACCTTTCCACACGCTAGACCCCCAGACACAGCAGCAATGATACTCGTCACTTTACAGAGGAGGGTTTTAATTCTGACTACTCTCGGGACTTTTACCCCGTTTAGGTAACATTTAATCTCCGGGATTCCACTACCCGCTGCTACTGGCTGAAATATTATATACGATAAGCATTTCACAACACATGGCGACCAAATCAATTCATAACCATACTGATTCCATGGTAAGCAAGACTCTGCAATCTTTGTAAGACCTAATTATCACCTCGACAAAAGCGACCACGACAGTTGCAACGATGCAAAAAGCGATGTTGAGTCCGGTCCAAACCAGCCAAGGAATCAGAACGGAGCATGTTTCTTTATTTAAACACTTCAGCATATCTGAAAGGATAAGTCAAGAACAATCATGGTTGTGATGTTCAGTGTTCACATTCATGAATATCAATGTGGTGATGATCTCATACCCTGATGGCTGATACCCGGTCAAGTGAAATACTCCGCTAGCCATTCGCTAGGTATGATTGGGGGACTGGTCCGTAGTACCAGCCAATGTTTACTCAAAAGTAATATATAATTGAAATAAGTTAAATATTCATCCCCGAGGGGCACGCAGATTATAATTGTGATGTTATCTAATAAAACTATTCAATTAAAATTTTATTGGTCGAGTCGACTGGCCCTGATCTGCAAACATATTTGATATTAACTTTATGATGCTGCCTCACCGCAATTAGGTGTGTTATCAGTGTAGATATGCGCTATGTGGCAGTGAAATAAGGAATGTGCTGTTAGAATGGCAGGTGGTTTGAAATGTTGTCCTGATTCAGATTGTTTAATTTGAGCTGTATGAGTTTGGTTTTGAGTGATTATTGACTAGATGTTCTTTGTGATTTACGTAATCCAGGTAGGTTGTGGAGTAAAAATGGTGGCCATTCGTCGTTGCAGCCAGCACTTTGCAAGTCTAGTAGTACTTTTTTTGACGAATTCTTATATATGTTGATAGAAAATATACTGGTATAAATGCTGCATTTTAGCGCGTTTCCTATAGGCGCCCGCTAGCTTCCGCTATAATCCGATAGCTCACCGGTGGCTTTTGTGTAACTTAAATCCGGCAATAAAGACATGTGGTTGATGCAGCCGGCTACGCAATGCGCTGCATGCACATGTGACATGAGATGCGCGCCGCGCGCGGTCTGCTAGCTAGTCAAATAATTTAATGTTTGTACGTACGCGCCGATTGATCTGCTCTTGCAGTATTAGGAGTTGGCGCGTTCCATAAAACACGGATATTCCGCAGTCTAGCGATGTCCTAAATTAACTCTTGTTCACACTCGTCTGATAGACTTACTTCATACTTCATACTTGTGCCCATCAAAACGTGTGTACTTTGTAGTTTGTAATGCATGTTTGGCTTTGTAGTAAAATATTAAGTTATGCCTAAAATCATGTACCAGCTTGTCTATCTTTTGAACGACAGCTTGCAAGTGTTCGAGACCGTAACAAACGGACAAATTATGAATGTGAATTGTGAACAAACTCAGAGCATCCTGCCTACGGCACGGATGGATATAATCTGAACACAATGCACTTCAGTAATCTCCAGTCTACAGTAATCAAGGATAATTTAATGTAGAATTAAACTTACATTTCCTGACCAGGTCGAGCTTGATGTTGGACAGCTGTTCAATTCCTATGTCAACTATTACCGCTATACAGGCTGTAAATACGCCTATCAGAAAACACACCAGCCATCTGTTAAAACTAGTAGAGTTGAACCGCTGAAATATACAAGTATTGAGCACTATTTGAGCAAGGGATCTGTCTCGCTTAAAACCAAGCTTCTATATTTTCCGCCAAAAAGCACGGTTTAACATAGTTACAATTCATTGAATGTTCAATAAATTCAGGAAAAAGAAAGCAGGAATTCTCTTGAAACCATTATATGACAAATGTGATAAATTATTGCGCTAATGTTTTGCATAGTTCAACAAACCTTATATTCACGTTTAGTTTCACTCTGGAGAGTCAAATCGTTCTCAACTGTATCATAATTCAAACTCTGTGGAAACATTAACAATGTTAGTACTCAGTATTTTACTTTTAAAGATAAAACTGATAATTACTATTAAGTTTTTACCATCGCGGTATTATAAGTTGAAAGCAGATATCGTAACGCACTTAAAATTGGTAAACGTACTGTAATGCGACACGTACAGCTGTAGTGTGAAACCTGAAGTTCGACAAGAAGTTCCACAGTCACCTTCATTCAGTCTACACAGCAAAACAGAACATGAAACAGAAAGCTTCAGATACTGACCTCCCTACGAAACACCTAATCGCTGACGCTATTGGACCCCTCTCCTTTGAAGCCATACCAAAACCCGCTCCCTGGTAGATCTTTTCCTAACTCCTGACTACATCAGAACGAACAAGGGTGAAACCTTCCTGCTTTGGGATTCTACCTACTCGGCGGAGAGGAGAACATCTTTCCTGCTCGGCGCAGTGGAAAACAAGGATCGTTTGGCTGAGGCTCCTCATCTTGTCATTGCTGGTACCTTCAGCACCTCACCCAACCTGTTCACACAGTTGGTGACGTCTCCTGACGGCTGGAGAATTCCCCTCGCATTCGGCTTACTCCCTGGAAAGACGCAAGCCCATTACGAAGCCCTCCTTAATGAGCTCTATGCCTGAATCTGTCCTGAGTGACTACGAGAGACCCCTGATCAACGCTGTGGAGACAACCTGGCCCACTACTACCAAGAGAGGATGCTTTTTCCACCACAAGCAAGCCTTCTGGAGTCAGGAGGAAGCTGGACACGCGTTGTCGCAGAGAACTCTTTGTCGCACTTGAGTTCGTGTCGCACAACAGTCCGGGTAGCGTACTGTAGTGCGACAGTGTCGATCTTGGAGGTGTTTGCACTACTACTCGGTAGTAGTACTAGGGTACGTGTCGCATTACAGTACGGTAATACTGCTCTCTTGTTACTCGCCTGTTCGTAGAACAGATATGGTTTTATAGCACCAAGGTTAAATAACATTAGCTTACTCGGAATGTAACTTACACATTTGGGAGCGAATTGAGCATAAAAATAGAACGGATGAACAAAGATAAAGTTACAGTGGAATTTATATTTTATAAGGTGATGTGGTGAATTATAAGTTGGTTAGGAATGTAACATGGAACCACTATTTGTTAGATTAATTTACCTTGCAAAGCTTCACAGTAAATAAGGAAATTGACTAGGGGTAATATTATCCGCCACTAACTCTAACAGCAGAAATATCAATGTGCTACAATAAAGTGTGAAAGTGAACTTAAGATGTACACTTTAAACATTGAGTGGTTGAGTACTGGGATTTTATATGAATGGTATAGTAGTTGGAATGCAGGAATGCAGTTTTACTTCAATTGAATTCTATGTTGAGTCGGGTTTAAAAATTCGGATATATCATGTTTGGAGACTACATGTTAATGTAGCAGTAACTCAGTAAGTAAGGTAAAAACAGCAGTATAAATAGTAGCTTTTAACTCAAAATATTGTTGTTTGTTACCTCGTAGTCACAGGATAGATAACTCCGAGGATCATCAGGACCGTGGTGGGTTGACAGGGACATGTGCCGGTGCTGAAACAACAACAAAGTTAAAATAAACTAATAAATTGACAAACTAACAAACCAACAAACCAACAAACCAACAAACCAACAAACAAAGTAACATTATGGACTGAAGAATGTTAGATAAGGTAAGACTCCGGTGGTGATCTCTCTTATTCAATACAATCTGTGCTAATTGGTTCCTAAATGTCAGAGCTACTCCAATTAATTAAATTTCCCACGGTGCTTAAAGCTTGCATGTCAACTAATTGATGACGTATATAATAGTGGTCAGATTACTAGGTAACTCAAGGTCCTCCAGCCCAACTACTCAGCGACCGCTCAGAGTTTATGTTCTTACTATGTTCTTATAACTTGTTGTTACCTAAGTAACTTGTTGAGTCGTATGTACAATGTACTCTAAAGTGTGACCTAAGAATTGTACTGACCCTACAAAATACAATTTATCAACTTGTCTTCATTACGCAACTTTTTGTTTTGTGTATGGTAAGATTCAGAGAAGTGTAAGTAGGAAGTTCAAGTATAAACTAGAAATACAAAAATTCTGCTTGAGTCAAGAAGTACACACAAGGTCCGAGTGCTATTTAAAATAAGCGCTAGATATAAACAGTGTAAAGAGTTGTGAGAAACAAACAACCACAGACTTACTTTCCATAAAATGGGAACTTCCTCAGTTTCAGCGCTAGAACTAGCCACTTTTACACCAGTTGAACCTCAACCACGACACCAAACTAAACTCAAGATAACACTCCAAACACTGCACTGAAAACACTACACTACAAGCACTGCACTACAAGCTTAAACAGCAGAAACAAATGGAAACTCCCTCACACTCTTCTCAAAATGATTGACAGAACACTAGTAAGCTAGTACTGAGAGACGACGAACTAAACGTGCTGACGATTCCATCTCATGTGCAACATGACCAAGTAAATACAGGAAACAAACAGCCAGTGTATATTAGCACACTGTACAGATACCTCATTGAACGATGAACATCTTCCAATGTATGATGATGGGCTGGCAGTGTATTGATTGTATATTTTAAGGTGGATTTATCACGGAGAAGTAGAGAGATTTGTTTTTCAGCATAACTAACTTGGTAATAAGGAAAGTCTAACTCAGTCATTGTTAGACAGACGCATGTCAAGGACAATTACAACTTACTCGTCCAGGTGGAAGATGCAGGCAACGCAAACGTTATCCTGGTGCAACATGGAAAAATAAAGCAAATTCCATGATGACTAATTTCGTCTCATCTAAATAATTACGATCAAGAAATTACAAATTGATGAACAATGGAGTTACCCGCAGTGTGGAATGTTTATTGTGCAGTGATAATTTAAGGATACTGAGAAAGAATTGTGTGATATCCTACGCTTAAAATTGATAACAGTAAATAAATTAATCGTTATAATACGTATAACACTTTAACAAAGTTGCTGTACAACAGTTGATTAATTAATTGATAATTTTGTAACAAAGTTGTCTCTTCTTGAGATTCTGCTTACCTTTGGGTTCCTACACCGCTTTCCTATCCTTTTCTTGAACTGTAAGAAAACAGTGTTGAAAATTATAAGATATTATTAATTGTCACTTAAATTATATTTATGTACATTATTACTCTGGGCCACCCTGTATACTTTGAACTTAGGACTTATGTAGCGAGTTAAGAGTTTGCTCCCTAAACCAAAACCAACCAAAAACCAACTGTTACATTCAGAATATCGGTGAAGGTAATGACACTGCCGATGGATCACTTTTGATAAGTTGTTATGTTGTTCACTGTCATATTATATTACATGTCACGTACAAGGAACTGAGGTGCACAGGTTACTTAATCTTATTAACAGAACTGTGAGTAGTAACCCCTACAAAGACTACATCCAAATATTACATTGATTTATTGATACTGCAGTGTAGCTCAAACATTATTGAGCTTTATGGTAAATAACGTTGATCACACAACTAATGTTATATTTTTCTGTTTCTACCATTGAGGTAAATACATATTTATTGTTATACTATACTATTTTAAATAGTATAAATAGTATAACAATAAATACATATTTATTGTTATACTATAAATAGTATAACAATAACTCAATATATATGTATTAACCTCTACAATGGTAGATACAGAAAAACATCTTTTTTAAATAACTAAAAAACATATTGCCACAAGTGTTTAGATATAATTCAAAAACATAAGATAATATGGAAAAAAGAAATAATTTTAAAAAAGTAATTACCCCAGATTGGATCGTTCCAAGGTTTTCAATATTCACATTATCATGATGGCCCGGTCCTGAAGCTAAAACAACCAAAATTATTTCATGTATGTGACAGTTTAATAATGACTCTAAATAACCCTTAAAAATAGAATTTTGTGTAAATCAAACCTCACAAATGGTAGTATTATATATGTTGACTTATTGAATTATAGTTAAAAAACAACAGTTGTAGAGTTGTAGCCTGTAGTAACAATTATATAACTAATATATAATATTATTACCTCCGTAGCAAGTAGTTCCCCCGAAAGACTGATCTAAAATCCTAGTCCTCTCGTCGCTCATCTGACGTTTTGGTAACGTGTCCCCTTGCTCCTCGAAGAGCACTGAATGGTGTCTGTTTGTTCTTGGTAAGGTCTGGCCAGTTAGGGGGTCTCCACCATTATTCTGTGGAACAGATTCTACATTTGCTGGTTGTTCTGCTGGTTGTTCTGCTGGCTGTTCTGCGGTGTATTCAGCAAGTGGTTCTGCATCTTCTGGAGCCAGGTCAGTTGAGGAGCTCACTGAAATTAGCGGCTCCTTCTCTGAGTCGCTCATCCTATATACAAATTGACAGTGTAAGTAATAAACATTTAGTATAAAGATCATCAGCCAAATTTCTGAAAAGCTTGTGATACCTTTACAGTCTGAGTGGAATAAATGCACTTTAGGGAAACACTTGACTGCAATTTATTGACCAAAGTAAACAGTGCTCAAATCAACTTCAGTGAACTTCCTTGACTATGTTAGTAGTTATAGGGCTTGTTCGTAAGCCGCCTGCATTTTCTTGGTTTGCCTTCACTAAGTAACACTGCCAAGTCTGATCATACATGATTTCAGCTTCATTGGTAGAGTATGCTTACACTTTCATATAATACAGACAGTTTGGTTAAATGTACACTTTTACATATTTTGTTTTAGACACATTCTTTGATTGTTCGAATGTACTGAGCTTCCGTTTCACAACTTTTTTGTTTAGTTAGAATTAAAATAAAACGCCTTTGGTTGGAATAACATAGTTTCATTTTCATATTACGATCTTGCGAACTTCAACTATTATATTGCAGGCTGTTATGCAACAATGGGAAACGTTTGCTGTAAAAAGGAAACCATTAACCTAGACTGGTACAGCAAGCTTAGTAACAATCTGGCAACTAGTTACAAAATCGGAGCCAAAAAAAGTGGTAACCTGGAACATTGTGGAGTGACAAAAGAGGCAACAGACAGATCAACAAACGAAGTGTTTCACGCAGACACTTATATTATGGAAAGTGAAGAAGTTTTAGAACAGTGTGAAAATATTGACAAGATCTATGGAGTTATTGATCATCCAAACCTCCCAAAGCTTGAAGCAGTGTACAGGAACATGAAGGGAAAAAAGCCAGACAACGTTACATTTGTAAGAACACATTGCGCTGGAGGAGAACTCTTTGACAGGATTCTCAAGTTGAACGCAATTGTTGAAAGCCACACTGCTAAGTATGTCAAGCAAATAATCGAGGCAGTCAATCATCTTCACGAGCACGGAATTGTGCACAGGAACCTAAAACCAGAACTTATTTACTTTAAAGACAAATCCTACACAAAACTAATGGTTCATATAGGACTATTCAACACAGCACCAGGGCAGTCAGAGAATCTAACCCAGGCTTGTGGAACACCAGGGTATGTATCTCCTGAACTCCTCAACCAGAAGTACGGCAAAGAGACAGATCTGTGGAGCCTTGGTGTGATCACTTACACCATGCTTTGTGGGTACCCTCCCTTTTACAGTGAGTCCATTACCGGGTTGTTCAACGCCATCAAACGGGGGAAATACAATTTTGATACTTCTCATTGGGATAGTATCTCGAGCTTGGCAAAGGATTTTATAAACAAGTTGCTGAGAATCAATCCAAAGAAACGGATGTCAGGTGAACAAGCGTTAGATCATCCATGGATAAGAAAGTACACAGCTGAGGATGAATCAGAAGGAGAAACAACCAAATCATCCAGTTAATTGTTATTTTTAAACTTTTGTGATTAGCTCTTACGATTTTCAACATTTTGTTGTCAAGATTTGAATATTATTTGCGGTTTTTCCAGTTCGATATTATTATGTTCAGTACACTACAAGTATTTCATTATCCCCTAACTAGAACTTTAACAGTAAATGATTTTCCAAAAACCAAAATTAGAGTGAAAAGACTGTTCCTTGTCAGTCTAAATTATCAGGTGTAGAGAACTCCTGACACATAAAAATATCTAATGTTTGTACCGTATTATGTATCTAATTATAATATAACTAAGTAAGCCATAATATAGAAGCCATAATATAACTAGTGCCTGTAATTTACAGTGCTGAATCCCCTTTATGAGGAAACCATTGGTTTACTTATTTTACTTTGTAACGTTTTCATTGATGAAGATCTAACTTTCGAGTCGTTGGCGTCGAATAATAAGAAAAAATAATGGATTTTGATAATTTCAAATTCAGCTACAACTACAAGGCTATTAAATCAAAAAATGTAAACCACATTTTAGCATAAAAACTTCACGCATTAAAATTCAAAAAAACTAAAAATTAAAGCTCAAACTAAAATTATGGAAGAGAAAAATTAAACATTTCAGATAATACTTTAAGACTAAGCTTACGAAGTTACAATAAATTGCATAATTTATAAATTTGTACTAAGCTAATACAATGTGTACTAAGCTAATACGATGAAGAAATGCTCAAAATATGACATTTTTGCAAATCTAGAACTTAAAGTATGTACGTAGCTGGAAATCTAATCGTTGGGTGTTCATCGCATTACTTGTTTCATAAAAAGCTCGAAAATAAATCTGAAGTGGTATTAACCACTATCTGACTATCTTGCTGCTGTAACAACAAATTCTTTTTTGTGCTAAAAAATCGAAGAATTTAAGATTCTCTGATTTTTATAGGATTAGTACTTCAATTGCATTTTAAAAACTGCTCTTGATATAAAAAATAACATGTATATTATATTAAGTACTGAGTACTATTCTGAACCGATTAAAATATTGATGATTAATTTTGAAAACAAAATAACATTATTTAGTAATATCGTTGTATCATTTGCTGTGTAGTTTGTATAGTTAATTATAATATTATTCTAGACTAATTCTAGATTTAATGAGATGATAAAATCATTGTATATTCAACAGTGTTGTAAAAATCATGTTCTTTAAGGGGGCAGGGGGGTCTTCATGGAAATTTTCTCAAAATCGACTTTTTAGTTGTTTCTGATAGAGGGGAGTGATATCTATCAGATGCTTTTAATCTGATAGAAAAATATTGTTCCTAGCCGAAATTATCGCCGGTAAAAGGTCAGCGCTTGTGTGTAATTGTATTGCGCGAGCGATTTTTGATCGCGTGCCCTGAAAATCGAGTCTAAAAATCTATCTTCTCCTACATTTTTTGAGCAATCACCCTCAAACTTTCAGGATATGTTCTAAGGATCATTTAGAAGGGATTTTCCGGGCAAAATTTTGAGATAGGCCTTTAAACATTTTTTATTCGATTTTAAAAATCTTGGACCTCGAAAAATCGTCAAAAAACCAGGTCCAAGATTTTCAAAATCGAATAAAAAATGTTTAAAGGCCTATCTCAAAATTTTGCCCGGATAATCTCTTCTAAATGATCCCTAAAACATATCCTGAAAGTTTGAGGGTGATTGCTCAAAAAATGTAGGAGGAGATAGATTTTTAGACTCGATTTTCAGGGTACGCGATCAAAAATCGCTCGCGCAATACAATTACACACAAGCGCTGACCTTCTACCGGCGATAATTTCTGCTAGGAGCATTATTTTTCTATCGAATTAAAAGCATCTGATAGATATCACTCCCATCTATCAGAAACAACTAAAAAGTCGATTTTGAGAAAATTTCCATGAAGACCCCCCCCCCCCTGCCCCCTTAAAACAGAACTTTAAAAGAGTTAAACTTAAATATAAATTAAGCTAAATAAGAACAATCTGATTGTTTTAGCCTTTACGGCGCACAACACTCATGCTTATTCTAATTCTAACACCATCTGATTGTGGTAAGTAATAACTAATAAGTGCAATGTCCAGGTCCTACCACCTGACAGTTTTGTAGAATATATGTATAGAGATAAAAACAGCTGTTTTGCAAAAGTTTCTGAGTGCTCCAAGATGCTTCATAGCAATGGATCTAAGGTAAGTTTTAAATAAATCATGACGTCAGGAGATCCAAGGGCCACGGAGAAGTTAATCATCCTGAGGGTTGACCCAAGCTTGAGGGACCATGTTAGGAGGAGCTTGAGGGACGCTGTTACTCTGTGGAGGCTGAGGGACCATGTTACTCTGTGGAGGCTGAGGGACCATGTTACTCTGTGGAGGCTGAGGGACCATGTTACTCTGTGGAGGCTGAGGGACCATGTTACTCTGTGGAGGCTGAGGGACTATGTTACTCTGTGGAGGCTGAGGGACCATGTTACTCTGTGGAGGCTGAGGGACCATGTTACTCTGTGGAGGCTGAGGGACCATGTTACTCTGTGGAGGCTGAGGGACCATGTTACTCTGTGGAGGCTGAGGGACCATGTTACTCTGTGGAGGCTGCAAAGCCTGAGGGGCGGGAACTGCACAATACAGGGATTGAGGAATATTTGGCATGGTCGTATAATTACCTTGTTCACCTCCACAGCATGAGCAGTTACACACTTTACCCCGGACAGCTGCAACAATCGTGCCTACTAAGAAGAAAATACTGATTACGATAGGCATCACCACATAACCCAACCAAGACATGGTATCCCTCATTTGCCACGAACTTCTCCACTTCTCCGGCTTGATGACAAGGACACCCTGTTCGGAAATGACTGTACCTTCCGGGTCAGCACTGCAGTATATTCCAGCCCGGTCCAGTGTACATATGTTTTGGAAGAAAATGAAGGATTCTGTGACTTGTTCAAGACCATATGGGTTGTGATGCTCAATGCTGTAATTAAAGCAACGCCAATTTTCTATTTTACTGATCTGTTCAATGGGCCGAATGGTTTCAAAATCAAATCTGATAAACCAATAAACAGGTCCCCCTGTCACAACACACTGCATCAACAATTTAGATCTGATCCCTTTGGTGTAAAAGTTCTCAAAATACTCTATCTTTTCAGGGAGGGTTCCTTCAAGCGCACTGTCAACCACTGTGATTCTCCGTATATTATCTGCGTACATGATCAGCAAACTCCAAGTCCCTTCCTGATCATCCCTGATTAAATTGCACTGATACTCACCAAGGTCATCCTTGGTCACGTTTGTTATAGTGAGGGCCGATGCAAAGCACTCCATATCTGTGTTCCGGTAGTAGGCATCATCTTCGTCCCGAATTGCTGGAATATTCATGCTGTTCACGATATCAGAGGTCCTTTCAAATGTCTCACAGTAATTAAATGTAAGACTGCTTTTAAAACTGTATTTAGCACCCGGGGTGAGCTCTTCATCATTTCTCGTCCAGACATGTTTGCAGGAACGACCACGGTAGTTGTTGCAGTCCGCTGATTCGCTGTTGTATCCAGACCACTTTTTTATTATTTTGGTGCACCTGAGGATATTGCAAGGTAAGGATTGTGTGATTCAGCTTTCTATCGGTAATATAAAAAATAAACATGTGAATTATAAATTTTATATTTTAGCCAATTTTACAAGATATAATGATAATAGCAACGAGTGGAAATTAAAAAAACTTGAAATAAAGCCTTCTTCACGAATGACATTCTGTCCAAGGCAGCTTAATTGAAGGAATGGGTAGGCAAAGTTAATGAGGCAGGGGAAATGTGGGCCTGGATGCTTTTGCCTATCTTTCAAAACACTAGTTCACAAAGATAGTTGACATATATTATAAGGATAATGATATTATGCTGTATGTTTTTCGTCGAGGGTGGAAATTTAAGCGCGTCCCTAAAATGGCCAAGGGAATTGCATGTTGACATGCATACGACAGGAGCCAAGCGGACATTAGCTACCATAATAATATACAAAACACAGCAAAATTGGTTACTTAACTAGTCCTCGACTCTGTTTGCCTAATTAGCTAAAAGTAACAATAATTACCTGAGCTGAACAGATTCTCCAAGGACAGCAGGCACTTTATCTAGAGCGGTGTGAGGTAGTTCATCATAAGATTGGGAGGAGTGAACCAACAGTAACGACACTACACTTATCACGTTTCTGTGCAGCATGCTGAATATTTTAACATTGTGTCATCATTTTTTAAGAATATGTATATTATATTGTAATATAATAATACTTTCGCTTTCGAGGGCTACGCGTGATAATTGCCGACAGCTTGCTGGAAGGAATTTGCGGCCCGAAGAAGCAAAGATATTATTTGTTATAACTATTGACGGTGGCTCCTGTAAGATGTGATACGTGCACATGATACAATAATAGCTTGTGATACCTTTTCACTCTGAATGGAATAAATTCAATGTAAGGAAACATTTGACTCAGCTATTCATTCAAATACACTGTAATTCTGTAAACTGCAATTACTTGTTGACCAAAGTAAACAGTGCTCGAATCAGCTTCAGTAAACTTCCTTGACTTGATGCTACCAGGCTTGTTCGTAAACTGCCTGCCCGAAAATTTTCTTGGTTTGACTTCCCTTAGTAAAATTGCCAAGTCTGATCATACATGAATAATTTTGACAGCTTCTTTGGTAGAGTATGGTCTTTCATAGAGAATTCAACGAGAAGTAGAACTCTTAGCTCACTAAAATGATATCTAGCAGTTTGTAATGTCATCACGACGTGTTCTTTAAGTACAAAGTAAGTCTGAATTTATAACCTTTATGAAATAGCCTTCAGGATTTAAATACCATATCAGACTGGTTGAAAATTACGTGGGGGCTATACTGCTTAGTACCCATAAGATAACAACAATTTAACGATACAAAACGATTTGTAAAGTTACGTTACGATAAACGATTATTTACGTTAAAAGTATTAACTGGTCTAGAGATAACTTTAATTGTAAGATAAGTAAGTAAGGGTTGGGGTTAGCAGTTAGATTGTTCGTTTAAAAAAAGCGGAGTCACGTGGAATTGTTTGATGAGTGGGTTTTAGTAAGAGCCGCATTATCAACACAAATAAATTACAATTAACGGAGCTACACTATAACTTATATTTATTACAAAGAATTTTGTGTGATGAAGGAAGTCAAAACCTCACAGTTTCGCATATTCAATCCTCTCTCTGAATAATGATTTAATTATTATCAAATTACATCCAACTTTATTATAATAAAACTAAACGGTATTACGTTTTTTGGCATAAGAACAAAATTTGGAAGAACCTTAAAACATGTTTACTCCACATATTGTGTGGTATATGAACACTAATTATACAGACCACTCGAAAAAATTCTTGAACTACGCTAAATACCGATATTAGGTTCGGACTCTCCGTTAAGTGCCTATAGTGGCGGGAGGAACTGTGTAATAATAATATCCACAATGCAAGGTTTATGATTTGTATCTGCATCGCATTGAATACATATTGTATAACTGTGCTGTTAAAATATTTATCGTGTTTAAAAGTGTAAAATTAAATATTGTTGGTAATATCATTATTGCCTAATACAGTGATAAACCTGGCCGGCTTGGGGTGTAGCTCACCATATCACTATCAGATATGACAACGTGGTAGGGATATGGTATACAGAACATTGATACAGCAGTTGAAGAGTGAAGACCCAAGTCTGTGACCTCCCCACTGACCGTCTGTGCGAACAAAACCTGCGAGAAACTTGGCTATATTTGTTTGGAATACCATAATACTGCATACTCTTCTAATTAAACTACCTTGTACCTATCAATCGAATCTTAACCGGCATTGCCATCTGCAAAATTGATAAACAGTGAAAAAATATTATATTCTATACACTGCATATGTGCATCTAACGATTCACGTACAGTAGTTCGACATGCACGACAAGTTAAGTTTAGGGTTTGTCGAACTAGCAGCGCTGAGTACGTGTACCATGTCTTATAACGGTGAAAATGAACTTGATCTACAGATCTACACAGCTGAACGACTTTTGTTAAAAACCACACTTAACTGCAGTTCTCCCGGAGGAGCTTTTCCGGACCATTATTATAATTCATAAACATACTGAATCTATTTATAATTACTGCCCAATAATTACAAACATTAGTATTCAATATTAGGATCAGTGGGCCAAAACCACAGAATTTTAGAAATATGAGCTCTAAGTAAATGAAAGCGAGCAGCTTTTAATAATATAAGTTTGTACAACCCGAAAAACAAGAAGTCGTCCTGGTGCTAGCAGGAACCCGTATATAAACCCTAAAGTGGTATCAAGATTCAAAAAGACTAAAATAATTATTACCAATTTAATTCTCGTTTTTGACACCTTCTTCGCAGGGGGCTGTAGTCAATATCACTAATGGTAAGATCGTGACCACTGTAAGATAGAGCATTGGAGCCCTGTGCTTACCCCGGTGTTTTTGACACCACTTGGGGGTCCAAATTTTGGGCTCTAAAATTCCTATTCTTAGCCAATTTTTTAATTTTTTCATGCTGATTTGGAGGCTATTAAAGCATTTGACCCAGTCAAAAAAGTTTCAGTTGTACATCTTTTACGGTTTTTGCGGAAAGTCACGTTAAAGTTGATGCCGTGGTGTTAGTAAAATGGTACGGATAAACATACAGGGTGGGCCAAATGTACCCATACGTTGGGTCTTATACCTCCGCCGTATTTTATATTGGAGAGTTGTTGCTTTGCAGATGGCCTACTGTACCTACTTGTTCGAGGATTCCGTCGCCAAAATGTGAAAATTCGAATATTTTAGACCACACCAATTCAATATTAAAACACCTATATTGTTCTCTGTGAACATGGTGGACGCCTAATTTTGTCTGAAACGTTAGATTATTACATTTTGCATCTGATCTGAAAAAGTGATGTGAATCAGATTAGAAATGACGAAGTTATCAAGCAATTTGTGTATCTCGTTAGCAAAATTGATTGGGTGATTATATGACACCGTGACACGACACCTTAATTGGGCAGCCTTAACGATTCCCATGATGTTCAACGGGGTATTTACCGGGGTCACCTTATCACGTGATAAGGTAAGCCAATCACCTGATCACACGGCCATTCGAATAACGTTTGTCCTGAAAAAGTAGAGTTATAGCTTCTCAGATGACGGAGATACAAAGCATAACGAGTTTATTCATTACATAATTCAATAAAATTTAGCTCGATCCAACTATCCAAATTATTAAATAAATGCGAAAATAATTCTTCATTTGAAAAAAATGAACACGAATATTTTTCGAGTTGACAAATTTCCCGAACCAGTGGTGGTACTAAGTTATACCAGAAAGTCAATCATCTTCACGAGCACGGAATTGTGCACAGGAACCTAAAACCAGAACTTATTTACTTTAAAGACAAATCCCACACAAAACTAATGGTTCATATAGGACTATTCAACACAGCACCAGGGCAGTCAGAGAATCTAACCCAAGCTTGTGGAACTCCAGGGTATGTATCTCATGAACTCCTCAACCAGAAGTACGGCAAAGAAACAGATCTGTGGAGCCTTGGTGTGATCACTTACACCATGCTATGTGGGTACCCTCCCTTTTACAGTGAGTCCATTACCGGGTTGTTCAACGCCATCAAACGGGGGAAATACAATTTTGATACTTCCCATTGGGATGGTATCTCGAGCTTGGCAAAGGATTTTATAAACAAGTTGCTGAGAATCAATCCAAAGAAACGGATGTCAGGTGAACAAGCGTTAGATCATCCATGGATAAGAAAGTACACAGCTGAGGATGAATCAGAAGGAGAAACAACCAAATCATCCAGTTAATTGTTATTTTTAAACTTTTGTGATTAGCTCTTACGATTTTCAACATTTTGTTGTCAAGAATTGAATATTATTTGCGGTTTTTCCAGTTCGATATTATTATGTTCAGTACACTACAAGTATTTCATTATCCCCTAACTAGAACTTTAATTGTCCCAATTGTTAATGTCTTTTCAAAAACCAAAATTGGAGTGAAAAGACTGTTCCTTGTCAGTCTAAATTGTCAGGTGTAGAGAACTCCTGACACATAACAAGAATTGCGCCCGTTGTTTCGTTTTGGCGGACGCTAGATTTCCATTTCACATTTACTATAAATTTAAGTATAAGCTCCAATCAGCTCACTTCAATCTTCATGATAATAATATTGATAAATTATGCATCAAATACGATAAACACTTGAAATTCAGTTCAATTGCCGTAGAACTTAACTTGTATCTGTAATTCAAGAAATTATCAGCAAAGGTAAACTATACTCGTGTACACATCAATACACTACGCGTGCCACGTACAAATTGGGCGTATTACCTTGATACATGTTTCGTATCCCAATATCGCCGTGGCATGCAACGTATGTCAAGTATTACCTAATAATAATATTATACATTACATGCATCATATACATGAAAACACAGTCGCGCCGCGCATTCATAGATCACAGGCTATCTATACATCACATCTCCGCAAGCAATCCTCGCGCGCGCGCAACTTTTTCGTTGCATGGTAACTAACGGAAGGACTGACGACATATTTAAACCCACCTATCTCGTTCTCCAAAATCCACGTTTTTCTGCAAAAACCTCCATTCGTAACCTTTCACTATTGCCTTTTTTCAAAAGGGTGAAAAGGAAAAAATATCTAATGTTTGTACCGTATTGTATCTAATTATAATATAACTAGTGCCTGTATTTTACAGTGCTGAATCCCCTTTAAATGAGGAAACCATTGGTTTACTTATTTTACTTTGTAACGTTTTCATTGATGATGATCTAACTTTCGAGTCGTTGGCGTCGAATAATAAGGAAACATAATGGATATTAATAATTTTCAATTCAGCTACAAGGCTATTAAGTCAAAAAATGTAAATCACAATTTAGCATAAAAAATTCACGCATTAAAATTCAAAAAAACTAAAAATTAAAGCTCAAACTAAAATCACGGAAGAGAAAAATCAAACATTTCAGATAACACTTTAAGACTAAGCTTACTATACGAAGTTACAATAAATTGCATAATTTATTAATTTGTACAAAGCTAAAACATTGTGTACTGAGCTAATACGATGAAGAAATTCTCAAAATATGGCATTTTTCCAAATCTAGAACTTAAAGTACGTAGCTGGAAATCTGCTCGTTAGGTGTTCATCGCATTACTTGTTTCATAAAAAGCTCGAAAATAAATCTGAAGTGGTATTAACCACTATCTGACTATCTTGCTGCTGTAACAATAAATTCTTTTTTGTGCTAAAAAATCGAAGAATTTAAGATTCTCTGATTTTTATAGGGTTAGTACTTCAATTGCATTTTAAAAACTGCTCTTGATACAAAAAATAACATGTATATTATATTAAGTACTGAGTACTATTCTGAACCGATCAAAATATTGATGATTAATTTTGAAAACAAAATAACATTATTTAGTAATATCGTTGTATCATTCGCTGTGTAGTTTGTATAGTTAATTATAATATTATTCTAGACTAATTCTAGATTTAATGAGATGATAAAATCATTGTATATTCAACAGTGTTGTAAAAATCATGTTCTTTAAAACAGAACTTTAAAAGAGTTAAACTTAAATATAAATTAAGCTAAATAAGAACAATCTGATTGTTTTAGCCTTTACCGCCCACAACACTCATGCTAATTCTAATTCTAACACCATCTGATTGTGGTAGGTCATAAGTGCAATGTTCAGGTCCTACCACCTGACAGTTTTGTAGAATATATGTATAGAGATAAAAACAGCTGTTTTGCAAAAGTTTCTGAGTGCTCCAAGATGCTTCATAGCAATGGATCTAAGGTAAGTTTTAAATAAATCATGACGTCAGGAGATCCAAGGGCCACGGAGAAGTTAATCATCCTGAGGGTTGACCCAAGCTTGAGGGACCGTGTTAGGAGGAGCTTGAGGGACCATGTTACTCTGTGGAGCTTGAGTGACCATGTTACTCTGTGGAGGCTGAGGGACCATGTTACTCTGTGGAGGCTGAGGGACCATGTTACTTTGTGGAGGCTGAGGGACCATGTTACTTTGTGGAGGCTGAGGGACCATGTTACTCTGTGGAGGCTGAGGGACCATGTTACTTTGTGGAGGCTGAGGGACCATGTTACTCTGTCGAGGCTGAGGGACTATGTTACTTTGTGGAGGCTGAGGGACCATGTTACTCTGTGGAGGCTGTGGATCCTGAGGGGCGGGAACTGCACAATGCAGGGATTGAGGAATATTTGGCATGGTCCTGTAAATACCTTGTCCACCTCCACAGCATGAGCAGTTACACACTTTACCCCGGACAGCCGCTACAATCGTGCCTACTAAAAAGAAAATACCGATTACGATAGGCATCACCACATAACCCAACCAAGACATGGTATCCCTCATTTGCCACGAATTTCTCCACTCCTCCGGCTTCATGGAAAGGAAACCCTGGCCCGGTTTGGACCTGACTGTACCTTCCGGGTCAGCACTGCAGTATATTTCAGCCCGGTCCAGTGTACATATGTTTTGGAAGTAAATGAAGGATTCTGTGACTTGTTCAAGACCATATGGGTTGTGATGCTCAATGCTGTAATTAAAGCAACGCCAATTTTCTATTTTACTGATCTGTTCAATGGGCTGAATAGTTTCAAAATCAAATCTGATAAACCAATAAACAGGTCCCCCTGTCACAACACACTGCATCAACAATTTAGATTTGATCCCTTTGGTGTTAAAGTAATCAAAATACGCTATCTTTTCAGGGAGGATTCCTTCAAGCGCACTGTCAACCACTGTGATTCTCCGTATATAATCTGCGTACATGATCAGCAAACTCCAAATCTCTTCCTGATCATCCCTGATTAAATTGCACTGATACTCACCAAGGTCATCCTTGGTCACGTTTGTTACAGTGAGGGCCGATGCAAAGCACTCCATATCTCTGTTCCGGTAGTAGTCATCATCTTCGTCCCGAACTGCTGCAATAGTCATGCTGTTCACGATATCAGAGGTCCTTTCAAATGTCTCACAGTAATTTAATGTAAGACTGCTTTTAAAACTGTATTTAGCACCCGGGGTGAGCTCTTCATCATTTCTCGTCCAGACATGCTTGCAGGAAAAACCCTGCTGGTCGTTGTTGCAGTCCGCTGATTCGCTGTTATAGCCTGATTCGCTGTTATATTTATATTCGCTGTCAGACCACTTTTCTATTATTTTGGTGCACCTGAGGATATTGCAAGGTAAGGATTGTGTGATTCAGCTTTCTATCGGTAATATGAAAAATAAACATGTGAATTATAAATTTTATATTTCAGCCAATTTTACAAGATATAATGATAATAGCAACGAGTGGAAATTTAAAAAACTTAAAATAAAGCCTTCTTCACAAATGACATTCTGTCCAAGGCAGCTTAATTGAAGGAAAGGGTAGGCAAAGTTAATGAGGCAGGGGAAATGTGGGCCTGGATGCTTTTGCCTATCTTTCAAAACACTAGTTCACTAGAAAGATAGCTGACATATAATATAAGGATAATGATATTATATTATGCTGTATGTTTTTCGTCGAGGGTGGAAATTTAAGCGCGTCCCTAAAATGGCCAAGCGAATCGCATGTTGACATGCATACGACAGGAGCCAAGCGGACATTAGCTACCATAATAATATACAAAAGACAACAAAATTTTTTACCCAACTAGTCCTCGACTCTTTTTGCCTAATTAGCTAAAAGTAACAATAATTACCTGAGCTGAACCGAACTTCCAAGGACAGCAGGCACTTTATCTAGAGCAGTGTGAGGTAGTTCATCATGAGATTGGGAGGAGTGAACCAACAGTAACGACACTACACTTATCACGTTTCTGTGCAGCATGCTGAATATTTTAACATTGTGTCATCATTTTTTAAGAATATTTATATTATATTGTAATACAATAATACTTTCGCTTTTGAGGGCTACGCGTGATAATTGCCGACAGCTTGCTGGAGGGAATTTGCGGCCCGAAGAAGCAAAGATGTTATTTGTTATAACTATTGACGGTGGCTCCTGTAAGATGTGATACGTGCACATGATACAATAATAGCTTGTGATACCTTTTCACTCTGAATGGAATAAATTCAATGTAAGGAAACATTTGACTCAGCTATTCATTCAAATACACTGTAATTCTGTAAACTGCAATTACTTGTTGACCAAAGTAAACAGTGCTCAAATCAGCTTCAGTAAACTTCCTAGACTTGATGCTACCAGGCTTGTTCGTAAACTGCCTGCCCGAAAATTTTCTTGGTTTGACTTCCCTTAGTAAAATTGCCAAGTCTGATCATACATGAATAATTTTGACAGCTTCTTTGGTAGAGTATGGTCTTTCATAGAGAATTCAACGAGAAGTAGAACTCTTAGCTCACTAAAATGAAATCTAGCAGTTTGTAATGTCATCACGTGTTCTTTAAGTACAAAGTAAGTCTGAAATAACCTTCATGAAATAGCCTTCAGGAATTAAATACCATATCAGACTGGTTAAAAATTACGTGGGGGCTATACTGCTTAGTACCTATAAGATAACAAATATTTAACGATACAAAACGATTTGTAAAGTTACGTTACGATAAACGATTATTTAAGTTAAAAGTATTAACTGGTCTAGAGATAACTTTAATTGTAAGAGAAGTAAGTAAGGGTTGGGGTTAGCGGTTAGATTGTTCGTTTAAAAAAAGCGGAGTCACGTGGAATTGTTTGATGAGTCGGTTTTAGTAAGAGCCGCATTATCAACACAAATAAATTACAATCAACGGAGCTACACTATAACTTATATTTA